ACATAACTGATCCAGCATATCACAATTTACTTTCCATCTCACGCTCCCAAGAGGACAGCAAGAGAACACCAGAACAATCCCCTGCTATGGACTGTCATTGCCTGATAGCAGACAGTTTGTAATACATGCAATTTCTTGTATGCAAACTAACTCAGAAAAGGTAAACTGTTAACATTTGTCAGATGATAAATCATTAAGTGAGCTACGATATAAAAATGCTTTTAACTTTTTTAACTTTAGAATTTATTATACTCAAACTGAAGTTTGAATGTAGAATAAGGTCTTTTCTGCTATTCTTCAGTTGTAAATGGTTGCTTTGCAGTAAAGGTATCTTTCTTCACTTTTTACATTTGCCATATTAAACACTAAGGTTCCACCACCTTCCACCTAAATTATAAATGCCTTCAACTATCTCGTAATAATAAATTCATCCAGTTCTTTGCTAGGTTTTTTTTTTTTTTTCTTTTTTTTCCTCCTTTGTATCCAATTGCACTAAGAAGCAAGCACAATATTACCATGCTTTTACAGTTAACAGCTTTTGTAGTAACAATCACATGATCATACCTGAATCACACATAAATTCATGTTCAGTTTGTTTTCTTGTACAAACTTGAAATATCTTACATCACACCAGTATGGCTTTCCCATTTTCCCATTTAGCTTCTGTAATTATTTTCCCTTTAGTGTTAAGGAGATCCTAACACCTCAACGTGACTTTCTATTTATTTTCAGTGGCATTCTTCACATATTTTCCCCTCCTTAAATCTGTTACTTCTTGTACCAGAATCTAGTGACATTTACTTTTGCTTGTTCATGATCAACAAATTCTTTTTTCACGTTTTTCAAACAGCATAAGATCCAATATGAACACTCCGTCCGGTTGTAATTTTCGTAACACACCCATCACAAAGTGCAGTAAATATGATGATGTTACACAGACCAAAGCTAAATCTGAGATATAACACTACAACAATATTGCAAGATTTACAAACATCTACAACGCTGTCTTCACAATTACAATCATCTAGCAAGTTTAGAGGTCTTTGCTTAGTGTTCCTAAATTACTATCCCAACATCACTGCAAAACAGTAGGTTTGCATTCAGAGAATGTTATTTAGTCATTTTAATCTGCACCTTCTTCAAAATTGATACTTCAGAACTTAAATGTTTTAACAGGCGTTAGAGAAAAAATGTAAACATTTGGTTAAGGTGTCAAAGGCAAATTCCAGAGAACTGCTTTCAGCTCCCTACAAACCATAATGAAAATGAAAGTTTTATTTAAATGCGGACAGACTCACCTTATTTTTGTCTATGGCTACTTCTAGGTATAATGCTGAAACTCATGAAAGACAGGAAAACTCTGGCTACTTCAATATTGGTCAATAACACTATGAAATAGGAGCAAATTATTTGCTAATGTCCTGATCATCTCACTGTGAACTTTGGGGCTCTTTTATTTTTGGCTACTGGTTGAAACTCAGCAGGTGCATTCCTGGAACACATCTTTTAATGTGGCATCATCCAAAAACACACATCTGGTTTGCAGTAAAAACACTAATGAAGATGTATGTCATATTTAATATTCTTATTAAATTTTCACCTCTCCAGAGAATTAAAATTTCTCTTTCTGCAAGAAGCTTCGTCTTTTACCTTGGACTTGCCTGTCAACTGTACTTACTCTTTCCATACTGAGAAAAGATTGATAGGCATGTGAATGACAACTGAAGAACGATTTTTAAAAAGCAGTAGGTAGAAACAATAGTGAAAATAAAACATTTTAAATTCCTTTTCTCTAAGACCAAATAAAGCATGTTTAACGAGTCCTTCACATTTATTTTTTTAGTGTGCATTTTTCAGTGGCAGATTCTCTATTATCAGAAAAAAAATTCATTCTTTCAATCATATGGTGAATTTTATTTCTCTGTGTTAAGTCTTCCTCAAAAAGTGAAACCATTAGGATAGCAACTTTCTCTGATAACAGATAAAATAACTCAGGAGAATACAAAAATAAGGTAAGTGGAGAGAAAGCAAAAATCAAAGACAGTAATACCTTACTGCAGACATATAAATGTTTATTTTAACTGCATAACTTAAAGACTCAGAGATGGTAAATACAATACTTTCTGTAATGCTTCCATAAAGCTATCATCACTGGTAACAAGATGCTTAGTTTCTCTTTCCCCTCAAAACCTTCCTCCAGGCACATTTTATTTTTCTCTTGATTTATTGTTAAGCTGTGCTTCACAGAATATTGAAGAAGAGAACATATAAGCCCATCCCAACCAAAACACAGTATCAGACTTTTCTAAGCCAATCTAAAGAAATATTTGCCTAATCTGCAGCTGGGAAGTTCCACTCTGTAGGTCACCTATTCCAGAAGTTTTCTCTAATGTTTAACCCAAACCTCTTTAGCTTTAATTGAAGCTTACTACCTCTTGTCCTCTCCACAGATATTATGCAGAACAACCTTCTCTCCATGGTAGTCTTCAATACTTTTGAAGTTCTTTAATATAAATCGACTTGGGATGTCATCCCTGCTCTAAACTGAATAACCACTGTTCCTAAAATCTTCAAATGTTATGCTTGCCACAACAACTGTTGTTGCTCTGCTTTGTGAACTTTCAAGAAGTCTCTCACCATTTTTTTCAAGGGGAATTTGCTCAAATCTGAGCAAAATACTCAGGCTGAAAACCCACTCAAGTTGAACAGACAACTGTCTTGCATACAAACATGCCACTTTGTATGTATTTTACAGCATGTTTTAACCTTTTTCTGTACCATGGCCTTCTATTTCTTCGATTTTAAGCTATCTAAATGCCACTGATGTGCCCTGAATTTACTATCACAGAATTACAGAATGGCCAAGGTTGGCAGGGACCTCAAGGATCACGTATCTCCAACCCACCTGTCATGCAGGGCCACCAACCTCCCCACTTAATACTAGACCAGGCTGCCCAGGGCCCCATCCAATCTGGCCTTGAACACCTCTAGGGACGGGGCATCCTTTCTTCATATCACTAGTCATCTGATTATTGGGATACTTGTCTTCCAGTTTGATTACAGTTATCTTAAAGCATTTTATTAAAGTTTTGTTAATGTCTCTGGGAGTGCTTTAGCCAGCCCCTCAATAAGCTTCAGTGAATTCCAACAAGTTTGAACAATTTTAATGCACCTAATAAGTAGTCTCTGGTTTATTTGTTCTGTACTTGAATGTTTCCCTTATGTCACAGATCCTCTGTACTATATAAACAAAATTGACTGCTACAGACTGAATTAAGCATTCAAGCTTATTTCCTTTCTGTCTAGAAAAAACGTCTTCTTGCTCATTCTTCTCCTCTTACTGCATTTTCATTAATCATTTTGCCCATCAACATTTGCATCTAATTTAACATCTTTTTAATTTCATCTTCCATTTTGGAATGTGTTTATTTTCAGAATTTTTAGTTAGATATCCCAATAACTTGGTGAATAGTTTCTTTCCTGCCATATATATTTCGTAACAGTGGAGTAGACCACTTCTGCTCAAAAAGGGAAACCAATATTATTTTTACCATTAGCTGCTACATAACGTTTTTCAGTCAGTTTATATCCTGCCTGCAATTTACTTCAAAGAAACTTAAAAAAAACTAATACATGAAGCTTCCTTTCCTTTCCCCCAGCATCTTGTCCTAAAAATAAAAGTTATCTTTTCAAATCGTACCATAGTTTTATCTGTTGTTGATGTCCAAGTATTAATTTAGTCTATCAGTATGTAAGTGGATTTCCTCCAATTATTCTTCATAAGTCCTCTGACATAACTGGCACCCAACAGGGCTATGTTTAAGCAATGGTATTACAACTGCCATACAAGGCATGCTTCTGTTTCATTTATCATATATGTACGTAAGGATTATTCTTTTTCTATTCTACTTTTCCACTTCTTTTTCACGTGTCCAGTGACTGCATTTGCTGTCTTGCCAAGGAAAGCTTATATTCAGTTGGTGACTAAGTATGATTTCTAGAGTCTTCTTAGGGCCACTACTTTCTACAATATGATGACATATTACATATACAAGCTCCAGATACTGATTTTTTTTTAATTTTCCAGGCTGATTATTGATCAAGCTCAGCTGTTGTTCAAGAGAATTTATGACAATATCTAACAATTATGTTACACTTTCTACCACTTTTCTAAATTGTGTATAATCTGGCAATGTTACTGTAAATGATTTTTTATATTTTCTTTCAGATTTTTTATGCTGTTGAGAGATGAATGAAGATTGCAACCCAGAAATGTATCTAGCAACTCCAGAGTGCCAAGAAGCCTGAATTTTTTTTCAGTTCAGCTAATAATATCTGACATCTTTATGCACTAAAAATTCACCTTACCTATTACATACTTGAAAGTTTGTGTACATTTATTAAGAAACAGAATGTAATTTTTTTTCTGCCACAAAAGTGTGCGTCCAAAGATCCATCTCCCTTTGCTAAAGTTTTTGAAGGATAATCTTGAAACTGTCCTCTAGATTCTAAGTTCAACTGATATCATTGAAAAGAAGTGCAGAATCTTAAAGTCAGTAGCTCTGAGTTCAGTGTTTAGCATATGCATTTAAGTGCCTTTCCATTTGAACAGTCAAGAAAACTTTCCACTTCGGAAGAGATCAGAACAGGTATGTGCCCTTAAGAATTTAACTCATTATTTGAAATAACTGTATTTCAAATTCAAAAGCTTGCCCAACTTCACATACATAGCTACAGAACATTTGAAAGTATATATAAATGCTACCTGTACAATTTATTTATGTACTGGTATCCTTTTGTTACTACCACTCCCCATTCTCATTGAAAACTAATTTTCTGGAAAAAAAAAAAAACAACACCAAACACCATCTATTTTGACAATATATTGTCCACATTTATGCAAATGAATGCATTTATGAAAATGAATCTACTGAAGAAACTTAAAACTGTGATGTTAATTGGAGATCCAAACAATATCTGCTATAGCTTCCTTTTCTTACCTTCCTTTTCTTTGGGTTTTAAAGTTTGCTCTTCTTTTTTCTGCTTTGCTTCCAAAAGTTCACGTTTCAGCTGTCGTGCTTCTTTCCGTAGCTCCTCACTGGAAGGGGAAAAATATTTACAAGAATTTAATCTTCTGGGAATGTAAAGCCACTCAGGAGAAGCGGAATCAAAGTTAATGGGCAGTAAATCTCTGATATAAACGAAGGGAATGTACTGACTCACTCATGCTAGGAACATGGCTTAAGAATCAATTAGAACCAAAGAAAGCTTGTATTTTCATTAGAAAAGACAACAAAAGGACATAACAGATGACTTATTTTAAGAGCCCTTTAGAAATATGTCAAGGACATGAATAATAAAACAAAGAACTCCCACTTGTATTTTTAATTTAATATTGTAATTTTTAACTATAAGAACCACAAAAAGAATTTGAAACAGAGGCAGTGCCAAATCAATTTTACATGTATTATAAAGTTCAGTTTATGGAAGTAACAAATGCCAGCATTCTTGATTTCTTACATGGACAGATAATGTAGCTGTGATGTGATTAAGATTAGATCTATTTAAGGATAAATTATTACGTATGAAAATTAACTTAATTTTAAAATTTTATGACAACAAACAGGAGGTAACAGCAGAAAAAAAATACGCAAGTCAGTGTGCCAATATCAAGTGAAATATCTTTCTCTGGCATCCTGGTTTGTATCAGGAATGGTGTGGTGCGCAGGAGTAGGGAAGTAATCCTGCCCCTGTACTGAGCATTGGTGAGGCCTCACCTTGAGTACTGTGTTCAGTTTTGGGCACCTCAGAACAGAATGGACATTGAGGTGCTGGAGCAGGTCCAAAGAAGGGCAACAAGGCTTGTGAAGGGCTTGGAGATTATGCCCTATGAGGAGCAAATGAAGGAACTGGGGCTGTTTAGTCTGGGGTAGAAGAGGCTGAGAGGAGACCTTATTGCTCTCTTCTAATATCTGAAAGGTGACGGCAGAGACAGTGGAGTTGGTCTCTTCTCACTGGTGATAGGTGACAGGATGAGGGGAAATGGCCTCAAGTTGCGCCAGGGTAAGTTTAGGTTGGATATCAGGAAACACTTCTTTACAGAAAGGGTTGTTAAGCACTGCAATAGGCTCCCCAGAGAGGTGGTTGAGTCACCATCCCTGGGTGTGCTTAAAAACCATTTGAATGTAGTGCTCAGGGACATGATTTAGCAGAGGGTTGTTAGGGTAGCATGGTTAGGTTGTGGTTGGACTTGAAGATCTTGGAGGTCCTTCCCAACCCGAGCAATTCTATGTTTCTTCACAGAATCACAAAAAAGATAAGGAGGGACTGCTGAAGATCATTCATTCCAACTTCCCTCTGCAAGCATGGCCAGTCACAGCAGGTTGCTCAAGGCACTGTCCAGTCTGGATTTCAGAGTCCAAAGACACAGTCTCCATAACCTCTCTTGGCAACCTTTTGCACTGATGAATCATCCTCAGTATGAGAAAGCTTTTCCATACGTTAAAATTCAATTTCATTCTGCGTTCATACACTACACTAGTATGAAAGCACCAATAACTACTTCCAGTTTTTTTGGTGTTAGAATCTGTATTTTCCACTTTTTCCAAAACTTAAGTTCCTATTTATTTTGTACGTGCCTGGGAACCACATGATTTTCTTCTTGAAGTTCCTTAAGTACACTGCTAGGTACAATTAAAACTATTCTCTCCCCCTCCTCCTCTTCACAGAAACTGAATTCTTTGCCACTCAGCAAGAGGTGGTTACAAATGGCACTTAGAGTAACGTGGACCAGCATATCAAAAGGTTTTCTTTAAGAGGGACACACTTAGAAGTTCTAAGTTATATTAAAGTAACGTGGAAGAAGAATGAACTATTCTTTAAGAATTATTCATTCTTCGCATCTCCCTTTTATTTTTCCACTGGAAGGAGATTTTTGTACAGAACATAGATGTGCCTAATTCCTTTAGAGTCTAATTATAAAGTGATTTTACAAGATCCTTTTATTGTCAGTAGTAGATAGATGTTAAGTTGATAAAAGACTATGATACTTGGCTCTGGAACTCTAAACTCCTAGACTCTAAACTACGTAACCTCCTAGGCTCACCTTAGGCTCACCAACGTTAGGCAGGGGAGAGAGGCAATTCAAAAAGCCTTCATGGTAATGAGGAAACCACAAGAACTGATTAACTGAAAAGCCAAGCTACACTCAGAAGACAAACTTATTGGAAGAGAATTGGAAATAACTGTTTAACAGAAGAACATGAAATTGATGATGTAAGGCAGAATCCACATGGGGGCCCACAAATTGGTCTGTACATTCCTTCATATTTTAACAATAGGCCTTTGCAAGCAGTAAATTTGCACTCATGTTTCATGTAAATTAGCTTTCGTTGGTATGTGGCTGCACTGTTGCCTCTTGTCTGTGAAAAGCTTACGTCACTGCTTTCCTGGTCCTGCTGTTATGCAACAGAATCTCCTGTTGCTCTTACTTTCCTTTCCCCTTTTGCTAGTTTGGAAGCTTTCCTCTCTCTCTCAACAGAGCCTTCCAATATCCTCCTCTGCTTACTTATTCCCATTTTGAAGGTCCCAAACACACAAATGGAAACCAAACAAGTAACACAAAACTGGATTTTCTCTTTGAGAAGTGTATTACCAGTATTGTGTACAAAACAACAAATCATTTCCTTTCTAAATTTTGTTTTTTGAAACCAGAAGTGTAGCTCATTCTTAAAATCTTTTATCTCCACATTCTGTGAAGATCTCTTAGGTGAAACTGTTTAAGTACCAAGCTGGATTCTGGCTTGGAAATACTACTTCTAAAAACAGACCAAATTTCCTATACACAGTTCAGCTTTATAGCTTTTGAATGCAAAGTATATTGTAGAATAAATTAATGCCACAGTTTTCCAAATAAAGACTAGCATTAGCTTATTTGTAAACAACAGCTTTTAACTTTTTATCTGAAATTGTCAGCCTGCTCATTTTTCTACAATTACTACAATCTCTTGATTATATAACCCTTAGTAACCTTTCCTGATTGAACATCCTAAAAGATAATAACTGTTCAAAAACATTACCAATAAGCTTACACTATTCCAGTGCCAAGCATAATTATCATCAGCTAGCTCAACCATATATTCCACCTAGAAGATCAAGATAAAACAGCTATGTATATGTGTATTTGTCTATATATGCCTATATGCATATAACAAATTGTATACTGTATGTTTCTGAGAAGAATTACAGACAATATTCTTTTTCTGCCAAGATCTAGGCAAGTTAGCTCCAGGAAGCACTATGAGAAAACAAAACCAAAAACTACTTACTGAAGTAAAAAACTACAATGGAACAACAATATCAAAAGAATTGTTCATTTTTCTTATTTATATCAAAATTATTTGTAATCAGAATGTTTATTCTGCAGAAGAAAAAGCCAGACAATCAGTTTCAGAAGAAAATGCCTAACTCCAGGGTTTTTAGATGCATCTGTTTGACTCATGGAATCTCCACGATATAGAAGCCACAAGACACTGGCTGTTTTCAGGTTCATCTCTTTCTGCATTTTAAATATAAAATGCATAGTGAAACTATCAGATTTCCTGGTAAACTATCTGAATGAATGTTCAACCAACAGCTCTGCACTGTTATCTACTACTCTGATTTCTTTTCAGCAAATGAAATAATTTGAATTTCTTCACATTCTTTTTAAAGAAAAGGATGTTCTCATCACTTTTAGTAGCTCCTGTTTGCTATATATCTCCCTGCAATATGTCTACAATCCTTCTGAACACTGGCCTCAGAATTAAATATGATGGGTTCAAACACTCCAGTAAAGCATTGCTGATTGCATACTTGGTGCCTTTGTTTTGATTCACATAGAATACAAGGTCATCACTGCACTGAGTACTCTAATTCTTGCAATGACTATAAACCCATTTCTTATCCACTTCTTTCCAAAATGTTCTTCAGCCATTGTATAACACTGCAGGTACAACCTACACTCCTGATTTGCAATTGTATAATCTATTATTTATTAGTAATTTAAGTTTTTCTTGTAGCATTCTGACTAAATGCTATTTAATTCAAATTATTTTTAATAGTCATTCCACAAGCAAGCAAGAATGCCAGTGTGTTTATAAACAAATGCTTGGATCTACCTGTACTATAAGCAATAGTTATAAACTCTTCTTATAAATCAAAAATGTCATCTCTTCAAACCTGTAACATCCTCTCACTTCAGTTTTTCTAAGAGGCAACACAGTTATCTCCTTAGGCTCACCAATGATAGGCAGGGGAGAGAGGCAATTCCAAAAGCCTTCATGGTAACTGATTACAGAACTGATTACAACTTCACTAGCCATCTTCTTTGCTTTTGAGTATAACAAAAAAAGCAATCTGTTACATCTAGTTAGGAAAGAAGAGAGGATAAATTACGTATGTTCATTTCTTGGTATTGTACCTTTTGCCACATTTAGACTGTGATGGCAGTCCTACAGTTCTTTGTAATTTCCTGTTTTTCACTAGAAATTAACATTAGTAAAGCAGAAAACATTCAGCTTTCACTGAAGTCCTTGACTAGTTAATTAGGCTTGTTTTCTACAAGTAATTCAGTTAAAAAGATGTAGCCCCTTGTCAGTGGATGTGAACTTTTTACCGTCCTCACATTATGCATACTGCACATTCCACATACAGACCATAAATATTTATGAATATTTTTTTTATATAATGGTTTTTGCCATCTTTATGGTTGGCTGAAGATAAGCCAGCAATGTGCCCAGGTGGTCAAGAAGGCCACTGGTGATTCAGTTACAGATGGTGTTAGAGAGCTCCTTCTCCATCTGGACTATCACAAGTCCATGGGACCATGGGCTCCATCTTAAGGTGCTGAGGGAGCTGGTGGGGGTGATTGCTGAGCTGCTCTAGGCCATCTTTTATCTGGAGAGGTCCCAGAAGATTCGAAGCTTGCTGATGTGACTCCTATCTACAAGAAGGGCTGTAAGGAGGATCCGGGGAACTACAGGCCTGTCAGTGTGAAGTCTGTACCAGGGAAAGTAATGGAGCAAATCATCTTGGGTGAGATCACAAAACATGTGTGTC